AGAAGGCAAACCTCGGCAGAGGTTCTTCGCGATTTCAGATACGAGCGGACGAGCCTCCCTCGGGTTCTATACTCGCAATGAGCGGTTCGCGCGCGAGGCAGATAAAACCTATCCGCGATAGACGGATCGAGCTCCCCACCGCAAATGGGAACACCCCGCGACGTGTCGATGACACTCGTTCCATAAAGATATATACCCCCCGGGAGGAGGTGCGCTCTCTTTCAGCCTTTGTCTCGAGTCCAACCGCCAGACGTCGTTGAACTCTTCGACTCGAGGACAAGACACTTTGAACCGCGCCAGTGCAAGCGCAAATAATCGGCTTGCGCGTGCTCCATTCCCGGAGGTCCCCTCTAGAGATTGAAGCGCCGCGCGACCCTAACCTAAAAGTCGACGGTAAATTCCCGAAAGATAAGGATCGTTTCTCCAGTAGTCGCCGCCACCGCGGGCCGGAAGCGGGTAGATGGTGCCAGAGCGGTGTCGGTTTCCAGGCACATCGGGACTCCGCCGAGAGCTCCAGCGGGAAGTCGTTCCTTTTTCTTCTCGCGCCGACTCCCCCGTTATCCGGCGAAAGAGGGGACCGATAGAGACGAGCACGCGGCCGGCGTGCCCTCGTGCCGGCCCGCCGCGAACTTTCCACGGCCCCTCGAATTGCCTCCATTGTTCTCGTTTCCGGCGAAGGTCGAGTCCCAGCCCCGATACGAAACCCGGGGCTTCGATCGTCGATCGTTCCCAGCACACTGACCTGCGCGTCTGGTCGCGCTATCGGTCCGATAAGCGCCTTCCTTTCGGGGCCGATCAACGACCGCGCCGTCGAGAACACTCGACGTAAATCGCCTCCACCGCGGAGTCCCAAGGAGCCATCTCGCCCTGCAACCAAATCCACCTAAACGTCAATTAGATCCGCAATTATCCGCAATTCCCCCCCTAAAACCTTCCCCAATAAACTTACAAACAATTATAAATTAATACAACACTCCAGAGACTCGTGCAACGCTCCGATTCCAGGTCGACGGGCGTCTCGCCGCTTCTCGCTGCAGGGGCCTCCTCGCTGCGAATCCTCGATTCGGGGGAATCCCGGTCCCGGGCTCGCCCTTTCCGGGCGAGTTTCGCTCGGTCGGGCAAAAAGTGCTCGGCCGAGCGAATCGGAAGCCAGTCGAGTCGGGTGCACGCATCCGTATACGTGCACGGTCGGGTCAAGGCCGTATCCATCGCGCGGTGGGTCGGGCTGAGTCACTCGGGTGCGAGTCGCGCAAGTGCATCGAACCCGCGCGCGCGTTGACCGTCGCGGCCGCTCGGCGTCGCGCCCGAGCCCAAAGTCACTCGGCCATCCTCGGGCGAGCTCGGCGGCATTCCTCGAGCATCAACCCGGGGAGCGCCGAGTGCAACGCCCAAAGCCGCGAGTCGAGGGCCGCGGCGCTGCGGCTTCCTGCGTAGCAGCTCCCTCGGTCCGCCAGGGAGGGGACAGGGGGGGAAGGGCCGGCACCGTTCCTCGGCGAGAGCGCGCTCGGGCCCTCGCGGGAGAAGGAAGGTCCGTTTGAGAGACGCTGAAGGGCCGACGCACCGGGCAGGGTGAACGCTCTCGCTCTCTCTCTCTCCCTCTCTCTCGGGGCGCGCGGGAGCGCGCTCACGCGTACACGCTCTCGCGTGTTCGCCGAGTCCGCGAGCCCGCCTCGTCGTCGTTGCGGATTCGAAACGGACCTTCGCCCTCGCCCCAGGAATGGCGTCCACCTGGCCGTGAGTGCGCATCCATCTTGTATTCCAGAAGATAGTTATTAACCAGGCATCTCCATAACCTGAAAAGAAATTCCGTTTCAGTCCTGGCGAGTAGCTATGGTGTTTTTACCTCTTAACATAGAGGGGGGGAGCAAGCATATGCGAGGCGACGGTTCGACGCCGGTGCAACGGCACACTCGGCGTCGCGCTATTCCGCACGCATGGAGGGTCCGATCACCCGTCCGCGGCGTTTTAACGGCGCGGGGGGTTCACCGTGCCCTATCAAGGCCGCGGGGGCACCGGCCCAGTGAACCAATTGTGCCGCTTTTACGCCGGCCGTGTCATTTTTGTCGGCTTTATTGGCCATAAACTCTCCGGCGTCACGTGACACTCGACGTACCCCCGGGTGGTGGTGCGCGAGCGGGACGTGGCGTCGAGTCGGGCGACTGAAATGTCGGCGTAGCTCGTCCTCGCCGGTACGTCGAGGGTGGCGATCGAAGAACGCGACGGCCCGGGCACCGTTCGCGATCGTTCGCCGCAGCGGCGTCGCTGGTGCGTTTGCGAACCCCGGGAAATGCGTCGGGGATTGGGAACCCCCAGACTGGAGGGGATTGACCCAGACACCCCCTCCAGGGTAGGACTCTCCCTCCAGCGAGGCCGCGACTGCCTCTCGAGCCTTCCCCCCGGGGCTGGGTGGGTATGGGGTGCAAAAGTCCCCCGGCTCCTCTCCGGCCCCGTCTACCCCTTGATAAAGCGCTGCACCACCCACGCACGATCTACGTAGTATCGTGCTTCCATTTGCAAAAAGACTATTCCACCCCCGCAGACGGAGATCCTCCACCCCGTCTGCCGGGGCTCCTCTTTTTTCCCCGTCCCGCACCCTCCGGGCCGTTACCCAATAATAATTCCTCCCCCTTATGCCGCACGACCAGACGGAAGAGGCTAGAGGGTAGGACCGGATACCACCCCTGGAAAATGACGCTCTCGATCGGTCCTGCACGCGAGTGCTCTCCGCAATACCCGGACGAAAAAAAAAAAGAGTCCACCTCGGGATTACTCCCGCACCTCCCACCCCGCCCGGGGATGGGGATTCGTCGTCGGGACGTCGACGTCGATGGAAATCGGCGATTACGCGGCAAGGGAAGGTGAGCCACTCGGTGCTCGTACCGAAGGGCACCTAGCTGCGGTCGCGCGATATCGATTGCGAGTAAACAACCGGTAGATTCCCGAGGCAGGGTGTGCATCGGTCTGGGAAGAGCCTTTCAGGGGTTGCGAACCCCAGTAAGCCAGCCAGACAGACGGACTAACGTGAAAGGGGGTGACCCAGACGCCCCCTCCACCGGGATGTTTGCAAGCGCGAGACTGCCGCATTGGATAACACCCGGTACATAGCCGGGGCACCCAGTCGGTACATACGACCCTCCACATAGGAGAAAAACCGGTGCCGATGGTACCGACTCGCCGTGGTCGAGGAAATATCGATAATAAGCCCCGGAGAGTAGACGCCGCACTTAGCCAGCCTCCAGCCCGGGACTTTCCCTCTTCCTACGCGTGTTCCGATCTTCTGGCAAATCGGGCATCCCCTTGTAAGAGCATGGGTCGATCGAGAGCAGGTTCCATCGGCCATGATCGATCCATCAGGTACACTCTCGGTTGCTTCGAAGTGCAGGAATGGAATATCCCACGCTTATGGGAATCCCAGGTCTTGGGGTGACTTCGACAGGGAAACGCGACCGATCGCGAGTCGATAGCGATTCCCGACATCGAGCCGAACCCTGAAGACGCGAAGAGATCTTTTTTTCATGAGGATGCCTAAGCGGTTCTTGGATCGAGGGGTACCGAGAACCAGGGCACGCCGAGTGTGCTGGGAATCCCACTCTGGGTCTCGGAGTCTAGAGGTGGATCGGTGCTTCTCAGGATGCCAGGGTGGATCGGAGTGGGCGATGTGGAGGAAACAGGAAGGAGGAGCGTCGAAGGGGGAACCGCTGGAAGGGGTGAACTAGGGCATGGGAGGTCCTGGGGAGGACAGGAGGGTTGATGGTCGTGGCGTTGCCGCCAGGACGAACACTCTGACCTTGCGTCCCGACACCTGGCATCCAGATTAAGCGACCTCGTTATCGTCCCAAGATCCTACGAGTGAACTACAAGCTTCCTAACCTGGACCAAAGGACCTTGATCCTTGGATGGTTGGTCGGACGATGACGACGTTCCTTGTGCCCTCGGGTTAAGCGTCTGCCTCGAGAGAAATCCATCCTCCGGGAATTTTTTAATTCAAACAGGAAGCGACGACAAGCAGCAATGAGCGACGGGAATTCTCTGCGTCCTTTTCGCTGCACCTGAAAAAAAAAATAAAGAGTATCAGCGATCGGTGGTTGGTGTTTGTTGTCGCTCTCGCTCTGCATCTGGCAAAAGATGGAAAACCGCGACGCGGATAGGGAATAACTTCTCGACTGAATAGTAATTAATGGCGGAATCGATGCGGGGTGAACGTTATCAATGACGAACTGGAAGTTGCGACTGATAGCGCCTCCGTATCCCTCCTCGGGCGCGGTTCGTTAAAAATAGGGCCACGGGCAAACTTTCCGCCTCCAAGGCCACGTTTCCCCAGGGTCAGGACCCTCCTAGGTAACCAGGCCTGGGAAATTGGTTATCTCCCCTGGTAACCCCGATATCGCAGCCAGCTGTTCACCCTGTCGGAAAATTCGGAAAATTCCGGCCCCGTTGAACGTTGAGACACGGAATGTTTTGCCCCTCGATGAGCCATGTGCTCTGGTAACGATTGATCCTTTAGTAAGGATCGCCCGACGTACCTCGCATGGCAAGGAACAATGTCCCTGCCTTAATCGTGAGCCGTAGGCTAATTTTCCAGCGATTCGCGATTATTCCGAGCGGGAAACGTCATCAAGATAGAAACCGACCACGTAAAGTCACGCTTCGCAATGGCACCCTTCACGCAAGGGGCCGTCGACCTGTATTTATCGCGGTTATCTGTTCCTGGTGGACTTATTAATATTTCATGAGTACTAGAGAACATGTGTGACTTTGAAACGAGTTTTATCAATCCTCTTGACCACTGTTTTACGCGCTGAATTTGCCTCCGGATCCCTTCTTTATCGGTCAGGAAGTTGTGGAAAGAAAAGTGACGAGACGGGTCGCATTCCTAACACGGTTCTGCCCTCTGATGAGCGAAACGTTGAACTAAGTGCAGATTATTCGACGTTTCTACTCTTCTTAATTTTGTAACCACTGTTTTTAATTTAAGGACCAGCAATTTAAATGACGCAATATTTCAAAACCGTGGAAATTGTATTGTCCGTTGTCAGGTAACTTAGGAATGTTTCTGTACATTTGGAGTGGGTCTTATAACAAGTTCGACTTTACTACAGATGCCGCGGCTAGCCGAATCGACGGAAGATAAAGAAGATTGTCCCTCAACGACTGGCGATAATCTCTCGATGAATGGTTATAAATATTCCCTAATGAAAAGGACAAATGTTAATTTAAATTCATAATTCACCAGTTTTCGGGATTACCTATTAGCCATAGTGCTTCCTTTCTTAAGTGCGCGTGTGCATGCAACATCAACTTGTCAATTAGGTCACGCAAATTTTCATTGATTCGGTCTGGGTCGTTCAACAATGCTTCTACAACGCTTCCGGTTTCCTCACAAACGAGATTAGCCAGAAATCTTGTTGCTGCCGTGACCTGATCGAAAATTTACAACTCTTACTTTTACTGACGAATATGAAAATAGATAATAATCATGCAAATCCAATTTCAGATTACCTGCACAACATCGGTTAAACCAGAATTTGCAGAATTGTACAGATACTCTAAAATCATTGGTACAGCACTTGTTAAATAAGCGAAACAAGCTGGTCTGGATGAAAGTAAAGCAAGGAGCCAAATTAAATTGCTCTCTTGGCAGTTGAACAATAATTTAACCACCGCTTTAGTAAGATCTATCATATCAGCATCCCTATTAAAATATACATGAATAAATAAAAATTCTTTAAATCTATTAGTCATCATTTATACCGCAACCGGAATTCAGAACTTGCTCGATTTGGTGATAGCCTGTTCGCACGTAGTGCATTGTTGCATATATTACTGTCGATAAAATGCTCTTATCGCATTCTTGGAGCAGAGACATTAAACGTCCGAGGCAGTCTTGCGCATGGAGAATTTCAAAAGCTTTATAGCTTCCACCCACAAGATTCCCTATAGTCCATGCGCATACTTCCTAAAAATGAGTCCGTTTTGATCCATTCATTTATTCTTAACTATAGAATAACGTGAATGCCCGATGTACCACGTGAGGATTGCTTAAACCCTCTAGCATCGCAACGACGTAAGGACCCACTGATTTACACAGCGCTTTGCAGGTTTTGCTGTTCCCAAGTGCTAAATTACAGCAACAATTAGCTGCAGCCAACTGCAACGCAGCATTAGATCCTGACAGGCATCTAGCCAAACCAGCGACTGCATTATCAACTTTCATAAATGTGTTAATATTATCCAAATCCTGAAACCAGTAAATTTATTCTAACCTCTGAATCCCCTCTTGAAATCTGCAACGAACCTGTACGAAAGCATTCTGTAAACGTTGATATTCCTTCATCCGTAGCGGCTTTTTCTTTAAGAGGTTAGCTTTCGATCGGACGAAGTCTTCGGTGATCAAGTCGGTGAGAGGATCCTCCAAGGTGGTCCGCTGTTTATTCAGCACACTTCTCCGATGACGTTTCCTCTCCTCCGAAATAGTGCCCCTTAATTCCTCGCGAATATACTCCATTACTTCATTTTTCTCTAAAGAATCCTCGCTCATCGTGCGAAAATTTCTAAACAATGGAGGGAACGGAGTTGAATGGGAATTCCTACAGATTGGCTTCAGAAGATAGAGAGGTTAGGTTACAAAACAGAGATGAGTTGGGAGATTGCTCACGGGCAGGATCGCGCGATCGCGTACTGTGCTGCCCCCTGGAGAAAAGAGCTATTCCACGAGGTACTAAGCGCTAGGCTTAAGTATTATGTACACTTTTCGGCATTCTTATAACACGATTCGAGTTACAAAATCGATCCTCTAACCGCAATACCTGGCCGTTCTGTGCGCCAGTACGCGTAGCGGGAAAACGGTGGAACTAATGCGAAACAGATCGCCAAACCAGTATGGCGTCTTCCCGACGAGCAGCTGCCTGCGTCAGTTCAAAATACGCGCAATTTCTAAGCGAGTTCGTTACCGAGCCAAGCGCGATCAGTTAACCTAGAAGCGCGCCACGCCGAGGAAGCAGGTTAGCACAAGAAGTGCCTTCCAGTGATCGAGCTTTCGTCGGTTTCGTGAATTCCGCCAGTTTCAACGAGATGACGGACCTGACCGAGCTAAGGATGAACGTGGCCGCTCTGAAGAGGGTCGACCCCTACGTCAAGGATATCATAGAGACCGCTACCCATGTAGCCCTTTATACATTCAATACCGAGAACAACAAGTGGGAGAAGACCGATATAGAGGGCGCGCTCTTCGTATATTCCAGGAACGGAGAGCCCTATAACAGCATCCTCATCATGAATCGGTACTTAGTATTTAAGATTTAGCATTTAATAGCTTTTGTAGTACTCGATGCGATGCTCAGCACCACGGATGAAGCAGTGGAACGATCCCCAGGATAGGAGATCGGCTTTGATAGGTGATTGTAGTATATCTATAGATTAGAGCACTTTAAAGCTTAATTAGATTTAATTAGAGCTTGTGTTAATTTTCTTTATAAAGTATTGTCTAGTTTTTCTAAGGCTTTACTTGGGAGAATTTTATTTGCTGAGTAGGGGTAAGAAAGGATTCATGTGAAAATTTTGTAGGTTGTGCATAACCTTTGATTGTTGCATTGGAAAGCATCCGTGAACTGTATTTTGAGGTTAACTGCTCACTGATTTGTTTTGTTTTGTTTTGGTTTAGGCTAAATACGAAGAACCTCATGGAGCCAGTCATGCAGGGCCTAGATTTGCAGCTGCAAGAGCCATTCTTATTGTATAGAAACTGGAAGTGCAACATTCATGGAGTCTGGTTTTATGATAAAGAAGATTGCGTGCGCATAGCTACGATGCTGCATAAGTTGGTTAAGGAGCTGGAGGATGACAGAAAGTCGACGAGTAAGAGTCTGATGAAGTGCAAGAAGAATCTCGGACCTGATATGAGTAACGTCGATATATACAGTATGCTAAGTAAGGCTCAGGAGGATTTTAATATCAGCAAGGCAAGCGATAGAGGAGGAGGAACGACAGCTGAGAGCAAACCTCTGGTTAATACTATCTTAGGGGATAGTACCTCCAGCCCGCTGAATGCTCCTTTGGGTCCTGACGTTACGTCGCAAAGCGTAATGGATTTCTTTGCAAAGGCTAAGGTGATTAGACATTCGATAGAGCATAGATTTATTGTTTGATCTAGTGCCAAAAATTAAAAAGGTACTTTCGATTTTAGGTTAACCCAGTGCACTTCAAGCCTGGAGATCAACCAGCCCCAGGAAACGCAGTTACTCTTCCAGAAACCAAGCCTCTCCTGGCTCGCTTAATGTCTCACCCTGCAGCTCACACTCTGGAGCACATCGAAAAACAACAGCGCTCCACAACTCCACAGCCAGTGCCACCTTCGCAAGTGCAGGCTCCACAGCCCACTCCCCTTGGCACCATGAACAACGTGGGCTCTGCCTCTAACAGATCAAAAAGGCGAACCAGAGCTCCTTCGCAATCAGAAACCGTTGGAACCAATGCATTACTGAGAGAGCTGCCGGCTCACTTTATGAATCAGTCGGTTACTCAGAGTGCCAGTGACTCAAATGGCTCGACCAGTTTCCTCAGGATACTGACACCCACTACAAACGTCGGCACCACTATGACCAACCACCAGACCTCTGGTCTCTCCAGTACGAACAGTGGCAACCCTTTCGCAACCCTCTTTGCACATGCAACCATCCCTACGGTGAGTTTAAAAAAATCTCCAGTTAAAAAAAATACATATAATGCCATTTGAATTTGAATTAACATAAATTCTAATTAATGGCAGAGCTCCGATGACGTGGTTGGCTCTTCGCTGTCAGGCTCTGGGTCTGCTCCAGCTCTGATGCCCCCGGTGATGTTCTCCGCACCAAGTCCTCAAGAACCTCCTGCGAGACCCCTCGAGCCCCTGACCAGGAACCAACTTCTGCAAGCCTTCAATTACCTGCTAACCAGCGATCCTGACTTTGTGAACAAGCTCCACGAGGCCTACGTCAAGTCCTTCGGCGAGATCCTCTCCTAGGCCCGGCGCTGGTGGAACCCTTCCCGAAAAACCGAGCCCGTCACACGGGCTGTGATGGACAATGGCGGCGCGCGAATCGCGTTCGCGCGACCAGGTGCCGGAGCCAACACGTCCGAATCGGTTCCACCACCCTGGACGACGCTGTCGGGCACCTGGGACGCCAGATTTCGTCCAGAGCCAGACTGATCGCTTAGACGAGACGCTAGGACACTGAACTACGCTTTGCACGCTGTAAAAAAGAAAGATGAAGTGGTTGTAGAAAAAAAAAAAAGAGAGAAGGGACAGCGACTACTCGTTAGACTGTTGAGACACGTAGACTGCTCCCGGACTCGAGGAACTTGAGACGACTCGCAATCGACTTCTTCTTTCTTTCCTTTACAGTGCATTTACCGTTAAGAATCCATTTTCCGCGACGAAGCGGCCAAAACAAGGCCACAGAAACCGAGAAAATCGTACGGGGAGAAACGTTGGGTCCTCCGGCAGGACTTCGCCTCCGGTGTTGCTCCGCGCGAGTGCAGAAATCCCCTAGAACGTCGGTGTATTAACGTTGGATGCATTTTCCCTAGTTTTCTTTTCGACTTAACCGAGGATTCGCGGGGGGTCCCGGGAAGCCAGTGGCTCGGGAGGTTTTTGTTTTTTTACATACGAGTGCTGGGCGAAAGGCGGCACACGGAGCCGTGGGCGAAGCTACCGTCGGACGTGTCGTACGATTCTAAACTGTGATGCCAAATCAATTATATATTATACAAAGTGGAGAGGAAAACGCTCGTGGTTGACAGAGGGAGAGAATAAGCGCGATCGGGTTTCGGTGGAAGAAAAATGTCTATTTTATAGAGTAACGACACACCCTCTCACATGTTCGGTGTCGACACGACACTCGCGTATCTTGCGTTTGTCCCTGCGAGTGGAGAAGCGTGAAATAAACGAAAAGTACGAGATCTGCTGGAGTCACAAGGTCATATTGAACATTTTTCTTCCGTTCCGCAGTAATTTAATTTAGGAAAGTGCCCCGTTGTTAAATATGGAAAATCTGGAAGATCTAGAAAGCGGAGTAGTTGGCCCGTCCTTCCTCGGTGAACGGTCCAGATTTAATCCGCCGTTATCCGTTCTAATTTCTGCTTCCGGATACCAGGCGATTCCGACGAGACGAGAGTTTAAGGGGCATCGGACACGCGAGGCCAAATCCCTCGCGAAGGAGATCCTCCAAGTAACGCAACCGGATGCACCGCAACGTCGTGTCGAATAAACAAACGGTTTATTTATTTTTCCCAGCCGAACAAGCTTCCTCTCTCGGACGCTCGCTTCGAATCGAAATATTGTGGGAAATTATCGCTAATATTAATAAGGGGGAGAGACAGCAAGTCGTGTGTACAATATTTACAGGAAGAACCACGTCAGGGTAGAGACGTGGAACCTCCCGAGCAGAGGCCACTTCCGTGAAAATGTTTTAGAAAATCTGCCCCCCCGGGGGAGAACGGAAAAGTGACTCTTCGAGAGTCGCTTGAGAGGCACTTCCAAGGCACGCGGGTGGTGCCCTGCTCGAGAGGGATGCGTGGGGTTACGGTTTCACGACGATATATTTATATTTATATTTATATATATATATATGTATATAATTTACAAATTGGTCGCTCCGTCATTAGATTCACAGCCAAGTGGAGCCGCGCTCCGGCCCGCTAGCTTTCCTAACAGACTTAATCGCTACCTTACGGGGTCGAGCGTATAAAAAATATATGATTTCCATCAGTCGAGGACAGCGCGAGCGGTTCCGCACCGTCGAGATGAACGTCTAGATGACGAATCGTCCAGCTCCTCGCTATATGCTAAGTAACAGTATCTTTACAACCGACCGCAGCCGCAATAAGGCCCAGAAATTTGAGAATCAACCCCGGAGAGAATCTTATCTCGAGTGAATCGCGAACGACCACCAGGGCGCGGTGACGAGTCGCTGCTGGCCCCTGGTAAGAGAGACAATCGCCCTTAACGAAGCAGCTCCTCTGTTTTAGGACCCGTCGTTCGAGAGAAGAAAGGAAATACGAAAGCAAGAGAGCTGACGGGACGGGAAGTGTCGAGTCTTTGGAAGTGTCCGGTCCCCTTCAGACGAGAGGCACTTTCGGCGTCCCCAGCAGCGGAGGGGCACCATCGGGGGTCCTGTGGGGCCCCAATTTGTCGTTCTGCGTGGGGATTGGCTGCAGCAACCTGATCGCCAGGCTGGCCAGGATCAGCAACGCCACCAGGCCGCAAATCGGGACCGCTATCGTTGCCGTCTTGAACCATCCGTCCGTACTTTGGGCCCCATGGGCCGTTGGCTGGATCGGGCCCAGGAACGCCCTCTGGTCGCCCAACAGAACTGGAAACGAGAAACGAGGGTCAATAACAGAGGCTTTTGGATCCAGGAGTACCAGGGGGAGGGCATCTCGTGTCATTGGCACGACGGAAAGGAGAACGACGAAGATCCCTCGGGGGCCTTTAAGGTTCACCGAGCTCTCCCTCCCTCTGTCGGCAGAACCTGTTCCCAATCTTTTACGAAGAGATGATTGCCACGGCCACAATTACGCGGCTTAATTGGAGAAGCGAAAGCGTTGCACGGAGCTCTAGGTGTACGGTGCAGCCTGGCCAGGCCTCGAGCCTTCCGCGCACGTTGAGCACCTCCGGCACCTACAACCACCTACTTTCCCTCCGTGTGCCCGCGAGACGACGTAAGCATACTGCCATTAGGGGTATTGATAAAAATTAATACGAGGGACACGGATAGAAAATCCACGGTCTTTTGCGGCGTCTCATCATCCTTTATACGCGCAACCACACTTCTTTTTTTTGTAGGCACCGAATGCACATCCCAAGCCCCGTTTTATGACCCTAGGTTGATCCCCTCGGTTTGCCCATTTGCGATAAATTTATGCAATAATTAATTAGCATTAATGAAAGTGAAGTGCTGTGCGAGGTGAAAGATGAAGAGTGAAGAGGACGATGCCTACCTTGAAGAGTCTTGTTCAGCCTACTCCTCATGGCCGGGCTGTCCACGTGGTTGCAGAGGTCCTGCTCGCAGCACAGGAACCCCGTGGGACACTGGCGCTCCTTGAAGCTCTCCTCCAGGCATCCATGGGAGCTGTGCTCCGGCCTCAACAGGGAGGGGTTCGTACTGGAGGGCAACTCGGTGAAGCAGCCTCTACCTCGGCACATGTACCCCTGGGACACGCATTCTGGCTGGTTGCAGTAACACCTCACCTCTCGCACGCCTCGGGAATCTGGAAACCAAGATCGACGATCGCAATGATTACCAACCCATCATCACCGGCAGGCTGCTTGCACATAACGGAGTTCCTGAAACTCCTGGACGAGACGCACGGCCATCACTGACTTTAAATAAATTTCAGTATTTGGATAAGGAACGATATCAAGACGGATACAGGACTCGCGAGGAATTCGTGGCTTTCCGGGAGGAAAGCCCGCTTATCGCCTCGACGAGTCCTCGATTGAGCCACTTTGTACCGAGGACGATATCAGGAATGAAATGCTATCATTTGTATTCTCCTGTATCGTCCTCGGAGGGCCTGGTCGGAGAATAATTGCGAGTGCACTTAGGGACGGGCAGGGATCCCAGCCATCTCCCGAAGCGCATCGAATCAAAGGCGAATCATTATCTCCGGCGAATGCCGGCCGCTAATGAGTGGCCGACTGGAAGTCGTAAAAGATAAGGCCCCGTCCCTCGGCTCGCCCGGGGAGGGTCTCCGTCTTTTTCTTTCCCTATCTTAAATCCGCGCGCATGTGGCCGTGCGCGTGGAAATCCATACAGGAATAAAGCAGCAAATCTGCGGATTCACGAGGTCGCAAGCTGGTACGCGTGTGCACCATCGGCACAGACTTGCTGTGCGTGCAGTGCGCTCGAGTATGGCTCCCGGCAGATGCACGCCAGAGTGGATGCACTTTATCGGCGGAGAGAAGTTCCTCCAAGACGAGGGACGAGAGCGGATCGCCTCTCTGCGTCGGACCTCTCGCCGCTGTGTTTCGCAACAACCGGCCAAGATTTGTGCCGGGCTCCGGCTGCCCTTGTACTCGCGATTCGTCTTAATCCCGTCTTAATCTCAAGAGCTCGGGGAATTGCTACTCCCCTCTCCTGGATTTATCTCCCTGCGGCGACTCGCCCGGGAGGATTTGCATCGGGGCTGAGCCGAGTCCCGCGCCAAGCGCATACGTGTGCGCGAAGGCCGCCGAGTCTCTTTACGACAGGGATCGACCTCACGATCGGACGGACATTAATATCTCAATTCTGAGAGCTTATTAGCGGATTTAAGCCGCGACGAGAAGGAAACCTCGCCGATGACGATCTTGACCGATGATTTAATGAATAATTAGGGAAATTTGACGTGTGAATTAGGCCGTCAGGGGGTGCAATTAGGAAACCGGGGCATTAAGCAAACATTGCAGCGTGACTGGGCCGAAGCGGGCCGGTCGTCAATTTTTCAGGCCCCGCATCAGGGCCCGATCTCTCCCCTCCGAATCTGTCGGTCTCTCGCTAATAAGCCAGCGGCAGCATACCCCTTTGCCGGTGCCGGAGCTCACCGAGGAGTAAAAAGGGCTAAAACAGCCGAGTCAGAAAAGGAAGATCAAGGCGGAGGAGGGAAGGGAGGAGGCATGCGGCGACCGAGGCTGCCTCCCGTCGGAGGCCCTTCCTCTACGAGGGGTCTTGGGACCCAGTGGGAGCGAGAAGGACGCATCGTGCTGGACCCAGCGGGTGCGAGCGAGACGAACGCCCTCGAGATGGAAGCCAGAGACGGCGGCGCGTGTGCGTGCGTGGAGATGTTTGCGCTGGAAAATAAAAGCACCGGCTAGGGGCCCAGCAGCGGGAGGTCGAGAAGAAGAAGAGGGCCCCGAAGAGGAGATACAGGACGGCGGGAGGAGGAAGCCGGGGCAGGCCCCTCCGAAAACAAACAGACGGCTCGGCGGGGCCGTTCGTTATGCGTCCGAGGTATATTAATTATTTTCCGACAAGCCCCCCTTATTGTTCCCTCCTGTTTTTTAGGCCGCCAGACCGGCTCTCGATCATGAACTACGGGGAACGTCTGCGAACCCGGGTGGACGATCCTAGGCGGCCTGAAAAAAGGCTGATCGGAACTGGTGCACCGCGACCTCGACATAGTGAGGACCGATCATCCAAATTTGGATGATACGCTGGCTGGGGGAAGGATATTTTGTCGCTAAAATAATATAAGTGAGCGATGAAGAGAAAGGAAGGAATTTTACTTAACCCGGATTTCGATCCAGATCCTCGGCAAAGCGTCCACCAGGCTTTTTTACCTTCTACCCGCCCAAGCGAGATCGAAGATAAATCACTTTCCAATCGAATCGCTCGAGAGTCACCGTTAGCTAGCCGCAACCGAATTAGGATTGCGGAATGATCGAAGAGAGAGAGACCTATTAATTAATCAGCCCTCCTTTCCATGGCCTGCGGTCGTGGTGGGCTCCGGGGAAGGTGGCCTGGAGGCACTCGGTCAATATTTGTTTCTCCTGTCTCACGGGAGGATACAAATCGTTGCCGGAAGAGGGACCTGCCACTCGGAGGGAGAAGGAGCAAACTTGTACGCTTTACGACTTAACGGTTAAAACGGCTTCTCGTCGCACCGATGGGAGCCGAAACCGAGGATGGAATTTCGGTCATGGAGTCCCATGGGACGTCCCCCTGACGGCGCCAACTGCCTTGGAGCTTTGAACCTTTCTTCCGGCTCCGAACCTACCTCATAAACTTTGAGAACCAACTGACGGAACTCGGAGATCGACGGAACGTCCCAAAGGATTTGGACCGAGAAACTCCTGTCCGGTGTCGCGACGATCACTCCTGACTCATTCGTCAGGGATTCGTGTCCAGCTCCGCTACGTGAGAGCATTCCCTCTGCACCTGTGGAGCCCAGGGGCCAGGAGCCTTCTCGGAATGCGGAAAAAATCCACCGGAGGACGAGAGGAGGCACCAGAGATGTCCCAGGGACGGGAAGAGGATCTCGAGGATCTCCGGCGATCTTTCAACGGCGACCTGACGTCGCGCACTTCAGATATCACCGGAGGATAACGATGGGATGACGAATGGAGGGTCCGAGGAGTCCCTGAAATCGTGGACCATTTCTTCCGTTTCTTTTCCCTCTCTCTTCCCCTCTCTTTTGAATAATCGCGACGCTGGCAATCCCTGGACTCTTTAAGCAGCTCTCGGGCAGGTGCTAATCAGAGAAGCAGGAGTTAGGGCCCCGATCGTAACGGAACGATCAGGTAGGGTCGTAAACCGATGCAAGTACTACTTTGCGATGAGCGGCTCCGAGCTGGGACTCACCTGGCTGGGCTGAAGCTCCAGCAACTCGCCATTTTACACCCTTTAAGGCGCACTCGATTGCGACTCCCTGGACGACCTGGTACATCGGCAGGTGCCAACGAGCTCGACAATTGTCGCGGCTGGACGTGTCGGATCGTTAAACGGAAACCTGACAGGTTGAAGAAACAATGGCGAGACTAGGGATTTACCGGGACGGCGTTGACGCTCTTCGGGGTCGTCATGACAAACCCTGGTCGACGGTTCTATCGTTAACCAGGTCGTCGAAGACAACTCCAGGATTATAAATGACAACGGTAGCTCGACGTGGCGCTGAATGACTTCCTGGAGGTTTGCCCAGGCAAACGCAGTCTCGTCGTAACCCGGTAACGGGCAAATAATGATCGTCCTCGTGGCCGAGGGATTTGTTTGAACAGCTCTTGGAAGAAGTGAGTATTGTCGACGGGCAAGGCCTCGAACACCTCGACAAGCTGTTCAAACAGCCCTGGGGAAGACTGGGGTTCAGAGTTCCCCGCGTTCCCTTTGCCCCTTGATGCTTTTTATATAAAACCTTTATCTCCCCTCGACGCGGACCCCACTAAATATGTTTTTACCGTCTTTATATTAGCGAGTTAATGGTCCCCGTGGATATTTACGACCCGGCCGGACGCTCCTATGGCCACTCGAAAAACCGGTCGAGTCCTCTTCGCGGGGGGCCTCGAGACCTCGTTGGAAACACATCTCATTTATACCCGCGGCAAAAAAAAAAAAGAAAAATGTTTCACTGCTATCCGATGCGCGCGTACTGGACTGTGTAAACTATTACGCGTTATTGCATCCGGACATTGGAACGGTTCGTCCCTCTCAGCTGATAGGCACCTTTTGGACCTACTCCTTGGGACCTAGGGTGAGAGGCTCGAAATCATTATCAATGGCTCATGGAAGGTCGTGTCTCCGTTTAAGGGACTGGTGCAAGGATTAAACGGGGAAGAGGTGAAAAAAAAAATTCAAGTCTGGACGCTTCGCGGGGGGTCCACGTGGCGGCCCTGTCGGGGGGACCTTGAAGAGCGTTCCCCGGCTTGGCAGGTGCGGCTTTCTCGGCGAATTAAACGGTATCTCGGGCTGTCACTGCTGTCAGCCGACGGAGATATAATGGCACCGGCGACAGCGGGGCAAGGGAGAGGGCAAGAGGCCCGGGGCCATCTTAGGACCCCGATGCAAAGTGTTTCGGGGAACGTTGCTGGTCCCAGTCGTCGACGACAAGTGCACGCTCGCCTAATGGACCCGCTTTTTGGTCCCTTTTTCGAGCCGCTGGACTGGTCAGCGACCAGGGCTCTCAATAAAGGTTTTGCTCCTTTTCCGAGGCATTCTACCGGTGGTCTCCCCGGGTCCTGGCGGGGTTCGCCCGAGAGCGGATTCCAGGATGCCCGAAATGCGGACCACTTAAAGCCTTCCCCTAATTATTTGCTGGCCGATACTCTTGGCCATTTCTCTCGGTGGCTTCGGCTCCCGTGGTTCCTACGGCGAACATTGACATTCCCACGGTAGCTGTCAGTTAGTTTCCATTTTTATTCCCCCGCAAACTCTTCGCGATGGGGGGCGGACGCGTCCGTCGCGGGACCAAGATGGCCGCCGGGTCTTTAAATTGTTTATCCAGCGGCCCCCGTGCTGCCTGATCGCCTCTTTATAATCCTCGGTAGCGGCTTCTGCATTTATACCGCGAAGACCCATGATCCCATCCCGGTTGTTGGTTTCTGCGTAGACCCCTTGGATTTATTTCGCCATTTGCCCCTCTGCCAGGAAGTGGAAGAGGAGTCGCGCCGATGAAGAGGCCACCGAAGGAGGCTGAATGGACCAATTGGCGAGTGGAAACGATTCGCGTCTGGACCCACTCGTGAATATTGAAAGGCCCTCCGATGTGAGCAGAAGAAGATGGCCATTATGCGTTCCTTC